AATATATAATGCACTCGGCCACCAGGATCTGAAGCACATAGTAATAGAGTGAGATCTGATGCCGGGCTTAGCTTTGCTGACTTACTCCCACAGTTCTATGAATTTGTTTCCATTTCACTTTATTACAGCAAACTTCCTGATCTACTATCAAAGAGTTAAAACCATGGATCGTGGAAATAACTCCAGAGTGACTGAATTTGTGTTGCATAGTCTTTCAGGTTCGCGAGAACTTCAACTTTTCTATTTTGCATTTTTCACCTTTTTTTACTTATCCATTGTGCTGGGAAACCTCCTCATTGCACTCACAGTCCTCTCTGCCCCTGCACTACACACCCCCATGTACTTCTTACTCAGCAACCTCTCCGTCACTGATGTGTGTCTGTCCACCTTTGCCACTCCCAAGATGATTGTGGACTTTCTTCTGGAGCACAAGACCATCTCGTTCGAGGGCTGCATGGCTCAGATATTCTTTCTGCATGTCTTTGCTGGTGGTGAAATGATGCTCCTCGTGGCCATGGCATATGACAGGTATGTAGCCATATGTCGACCCCTGCACTATGCAGCTATCATGAGTGTACGAAAGTGTACAGGCCTTGTGTTGGGATGCTGGCTCATTGGGGTCCTGCACTCGTTAAGCCAGTTGGCCTTCACAGTAAACCTTCCATTCTGTGGTCCAAATAAAGTGGACAGTTTCTTCTGTGACCTTCCCCTGGTTATTAAACTTGCTTGCACTGATACTTATGTGTTGGAGATATTGATGCTTTCAGACAGTGGGCTGATGGCTCTGAGTTCCTTTGTGCTCCTGCTCATCTCCTACACAGTCATCCTGGTCACTGTCCGCAGTCGAGCCTCAGCAGGCATGGCCAAGGCCAGGGCCACTCTAACTGCCCATGTCACTGTCGTGACCCTCTTCTTTGGGCCCTGCATCTTCATCTACGCTTGGCCTTTCAGCAACTTCCCAGTGGACAAGGTTCTGTCAATATTCTATACTGTTTTCACTCCTCTCTTAAATCCCTTGATCTACACATTAAGAAATAAAGAAGTAATATCAGCCATGAAGGAACTGTGGAGGCGACAAATAAGTTCCTAGGTTTTCTTTTGTGATCACGAGAAGCATACTGAAAGAACCCATTTATAGACCCTGGTCACTTAAACTAGTTCCATTAGAACTAAGAAATTAAATAGAGACCATCTCTTGGATGAAGCTAAATAAAAAAAGTAGCACCATAAAGTCATCAGAGCCTTGATTAAACATTCAAATTAGTGAAGTTATTATTTCTCCACATATCCGCCACCACCTCAGTCGATACATTTCTGAAGACAGTGTGTCCATCTCTCTAGCTCTTCCCTGAAGAAATCTGCACTCTTCAATTTGCTACACATCAGGACATCGATTTTGGCACTTCTAAAGACACAAGATGTGCTCCATTTAAACGTTCTTTGAGTTTGGGGAACAAAAAGAATCTGGAAGGGGCAAGATTATGACTCAACGTGGATAGGGGAAGCTTTTCTAATGAAATTCTCATAGGATAGCTCTTGCTAACCTCAAAAAATGAGCAGGTGCATTATCATGGTGGGGGGAAAATTTCCTTGGCATTGATTTCCTGGTCTTTTTTCTTCACCAACACAGTTTTCAATTATCTTAAAACTTCTTCTTAATAAGCACCATCCTCCCCACCCCACCCCCCACACAAAATAAAACGAAACAATAAAAAAAAAACATAGCCATAATATTCCAAGTTGGGTTTTCTGCCTTGAATTGAACCATCTCAGCAAAGCCTCTTAGAAGGCGATGTTTTGATGGGACCTTTATTTCTGAAGGCTTTAGCTCTCACTGCCAATAAGTTGATGCAGCTTCATAGTGACCCCCCTGTGAGTTTCTGAGATTGTAACTGTTTATGGGAGTAGAAAGCCCCTTCTTGCTCTTCTGAAGAGATTGGTGGTTTCAAACTTCCAATCTTGTGGATTGCTGTCTGAGTTAGTTTATTGTGCCAACCTGGCCAATAAACA